AATGAACTAATCGACATGGACATTATAGAACGTGTAGAAGGACCCACACCTTGGGTAAATCCTGTAGTGGTACTCCCAAAGAAATGTGACAAAGATATCAGAATGTGCTTAGACATGAGAAAAGCAAATGAGGCAATAATCAGGGAAAGATACCCCATACCCACTGTGGATGAAATCTTGCAAGGACTAAACTGCTCTGCAATCTTCACCAAACTCGATCTCAAGTGGGGATATACCATCAGCTAGAGCTTACCCCAGAGTCAAGAGAGATGACTACATTTGCAGTGCACAACGGAGTATATCGGTACAAAAGGCTAATATTTGGAGTCTCATCAGCTAGTGAGCAATATCAGCATGAGATCGCCAATGCACTAGCTGGCATTGAAGGAGTTGAGAACATTTCAGATGATGTAATCATACACGCGCCAGACCAAGAAACACATGATAAGCGCCTGCATGCTGTGATGAAGAGACTCTCTGACTGTGGCCTGACACTAAACTCAGAGAAGTGTGGGCGAAGATATTCTCAAACAGAAAGAGAAGCCCTAGCACTGGTGTAGGCATGTGAGAGACTACATCCATATGTGTATGGCAGGAAGTTTGACCTCATCACAGACCACAAGCCATTAGAGGTCATATACAGCCAGAGATCTAAACCTTGTGCACGCATAGAAAGATGGGTTCTCAGACTGCAACCATACGACTTTAAAGTAGTGCACATTGCGGGAAAGCAAAACATTGCGGATTCACTGTCAAGACTACTGTCTGACACCACGTCCAAAGAGACACATAAGCATGAATCTGACAAATATATGAGATTTGTTGCAGTTAATGCTACTCCAAAAGCACTCACAACAAGAGGTTGAAGAAGCCTCTGCTACAGACTCAGAATTAACAGAAGTGCGAAGAGCTATTGAAAATGGACACTTTGAAAAAATGCAAAACATATGCACCCATTGCAAATGAACTGTGTGTCATCGGCTACATAGTTTTGCAGGGAACTTGCATTGTATTGCCAGAAAACCTCAGAGCTCAAGCACTGTCACTAGCTCATGAAGGACATTTAGGAATTGTTGGAACCAAACAGCATCTCAGAACAAAAGTTTGGTGGCCAGGGATGGACAAAGCTGCAGAAAAGTTTTGTAAAGCTTGTCACAGATGTCAAATAGTAGCCAGACCACATCCACCTGAACCACTGAGAAACACACTTTTACCGGATGGACCATGGCGAGATGTGGCGGTAGACTTACTGGGACCGCTACCTTCGAACCGCTCAATACTTGTACTGATAGATTACTACAGTCGGTACTATGAGTATGATGTAATGTTATCTACAACTGCTGTAAAAGTCGTTGACTCTATTGACTGTATATTTAGCAGACATGGGCTACCAGTTACCATCAAATCTGATAACGGCCCACAGTTCAAATCTGAGCTGTTCAGAGAATATTGTGAAACTAATGGAATCAAACATATAAGAACTACAGCAAAATGGGCTCAAGCAAATGGAGAAGTGGAACGTCAAAATGCATCATTGATGAAAAGAATCAGGATCGCACAAGCCGAAGGACTTGACTGGAAGCGAGAGCTAAGAAAATATGTAACAGTGTATTGCAGCATTGAACATCCAACCACGGGCAAAAGTCCAGCAGAACTCCTGTTCAACCGCAAAATGAGAGGAAAGTTACCGAACATCAGTGAGGCAAAAACAACGGAGTTGGATGTGTGTGACAGAGACGCTGAACAGTAGGGAAAATCAAAGATTTATGCTGATGAACGAAGGGGAGCTGAGTATTCACGTGAGACACGGGAGACACACTGCTGGTTCAACAAGACAAAGTGGACAAGTTTACAACACCATTCGACGCAACACCACACAAAGTTGTAAGCAGAACTGGAAACCAAGTCATCATTGAATCACCAACAGGAGCTCGCCATCACCGGAATACCACACGTGAAGAAATATGACACAAATGAGACCAGAGAAGGACACTATGACACAATACCTGAAAGGGAGGAAGGTGAAACACCCACAAAGACTGACACCTTCCCTCCAACACCACAAGAGGGTTCCCAGGGGCCAGAGAGACCAAGTAGATCACAGAGGGCTAAAAAGATACCCGAGAGGTTTCGTGATTTTGTGGTGAAATGAACTATAATATGTTAAGGTGAAGAGGTAACTTAAAATTGGCAAGTTTCAAGTTCATATGTTTATGTCGACATGTATATATTGAAAAAAGAAAGGTACATGTGTGGTGAGACAGTTAGATAATATAATTGTTAGAAAGTAAGACAAGAAGAATTTTTTTTTTCCAACATTGAACAAAGACATCAAAGTTATTACAACTAAAGTTTGAGTCTAAGGAAAAGGGGGATGTCATGTATTGATATATGGCTATGTCTTAACGTGATGACTTTTGAACCGGATGTTGTTGTCTGAGGGAGGCCCCGTTAAGTGGCTAGTTGTCAGATGGACAGTATTCAATAAATCAAGATAAAGACCATGCTTTATGTCCTGATTCAATTCAGAGTGCTCTGCCTAATTCAGTAATAAGGTGGGCACACAACAAGCATCATATTAACTGTTTTATTACATAAGCAAAGGAAAAATCTGATCATAATGGAAAAGGGACAACAGCTCTGAACATGTCCGGTCTAATTGTATTGTATTGTATTGTATTGTATCTTTATTTGTTTCAGACATATAAAACAAAAAACAATATATACACACTACATATATTTTCATTTACAGATACGAATATATATGTAGATATACACACACACACACACGTATGTGTTCAGATAAACAAAAAATATATAATGAAATAAAACAAAATCGTCTGACATAATGTAACAATGTTTGGTCTGAAAAACAGTTGTCACAGTCTGGCTGAGGCAGACTGTATGAATGTGAGGAGAGGATCTGAAATGCAGACACAAAAGGAACGTGGAACCAAAACTTCGTATTAACAAAAAACGAGCTGTTTAATGAGGCTGGTTAACAAAAAAGGTACAAACAAAGGGCAAGGCAAACTGAAGCAAAACTAACATTAACCTAAACTGGTTGAACTAAACAAACAACATGAAAAACCCTGACATGAAACTTAGAAACATGACGTGGAGAACATGCCGAGAACAACAGACGACCTGACAAGGACCGAACAGAAACACACAGGGGTGATTAGGGGAAATGGAAACACATGGGGAAACAGCTGACACCAATCTGAAATAACAAGCAAAGCCGACTACACTGACATAGGACACAGATCTTCAAAGTAAAACAGGAAACATGAGAGGCAGACATTACAATACAACTTCACAACAAGAACAAGACGACAAGAAACATGATCTTCACCAACCTCACAAGGCCTGGTTGAACAGTTGCTGTCTTATCATACATGAAGTGAGCAGTGTTCATACAACCCGTAATGTTACTTTGAGTTAAGGAGGTAAAAATATAAAGTCCATCTCAGTCCATGCGTCCAAGTGCAAGCACAATTCCCCCGCACTCTACAGAGGGCAGTGGCACATACTTGTGACATCACAAACATTAACTTAGGCTGTCTTAACCAGTTAAAGGTCAAGAGTCATGCAACCCTCCATGGCATCAAGCCTTTCTTGCAAATGTCAGCATGTGTAGTATCCACAAAACCTTAGAATCTCAGCTAAATGCTCATTTAAACCATTTCTACAGCCACCAAACACAGCAAAAACAAGCAATGATTAAAAGAGCAGCTGCGTAAATGCACATAAGGCCGCTAAACACAGACAACTGAGCCCAGAATTTGCCAGACTTCATGTAACCAGGTAAACAATGGCTCGTTAGCTCACAGAGACCTCACAGATTCCAAAACACCAAGTTCCATCATGCTTCAACCAAAAGTCAGTGAACCAGCCACAAAGGAAGACCACAAAAACGCACAGCAGGGCAAATGCGCTAAAACACAAATTGGCTTTCCGTCCCTTCCGCAGTTTTCACTATTAGCTGATAGCCAGCATAGCTACTGATAATGGAGAGCTAACTAGAAGCATCAGAGCCATTTTTGTCAACAACCACCATTTTAGACCCAGCTAAAGACACGTAGACAGACACCACAGCTGTGTCCCAATTCCTAGGCCGCATCCTCCAGAGGCCGCATTTGAAGGCCGATTCCGTCACAGCCAGGCGACGAAGGCTTTCCCAGTTCGAAGGCTGCTCCAAATGCGGCTGATAAAAATGCTTTTTGAGCAGGAAGCTCAAAGAGGCCTTTGGTGCTATATTAACGAAACACCACACAACTGCAACTGTTACAATGTCTGGTTGCAATAACTTTAACTCGCTGCTTTGTCAAGACTGACCTTCATTGATCATTCATATTTGAATCCTCGCTGTAGACACTGACAGTTAACCAGGTCACATACTGCTGCAGACTTTTAATCCAGATGTAGGCCTGTGTTTCTGAGCTCAGGTCATACATGTGGTCCTCACAGGGCAGCCACTACAAACGTGATTTATAGAATATGATGTTGGACATTAAACAGAATATAAATTATTTAAAATGAGCTCTACCCTAAACATATTCAGCAGTAATTTTAATTCATTTGATGCTGATGGGGAACATTTTTCTGCACAATTGTTTTTTACTTTGCAGTAATACAGTTTTATGTGTACTGAGGTGTTTAAATAATATATTATATTTATATTCTTACAATTCTTTAATAATTCTTCAGTCGGGAAGGAAGGCAGAAACTTAAAGACGCTGCAGGAGGCTTACAGCATATTTAAAACAATAAAAGAGAGGCAGCACAAACACTATGTTTCAATCTGCAGTTGTCTCTGTTTGCCTTTCTGTCACACATCTGTCTTATGTATGTATGGTCTTTTATCTAATAAACTATGAGAATTAATACCATGTAACTGTTTCCCTGTGTCCCTTCCCCCTGTTTCTCTTGTATCCAGTCTCTATCTATGCTGTTTGCTGTAAAATACACAGTACTGTCCAAAAGTCTTGAGCACCCACCTGATTGTTTTTCTTCTCCAGGAGAAAGACTGTGGCGGAGGTGTGGTCCCGGGCGCGGCTGCAGGGGAGGAGTGGTGCAGTGAGCTCAACGGGGCGGTGCTGGAGACGCAGGTGAGAACAGCTGATGGTGTTCGGACTGATGATGGTTTCCTTCCCCTTTTATGGTGAGATGGGAGAGGAGCGGAGGGGGAGCTGGGAATCAGCTGAGACCAGAGCTGTCAGACTGTGCACGGTCATAGCAAATGAAAACTAGAAATAAACGTCTGGCGACAAACAACTGTGCCTGTGTGTACGTGTGTGAAGTGCATTTCACAAGACTCAGAGTGGTCTTGAACAAGAGTTCTACAGGCTTTCTGAAGGTGCTGCTTTTTTGGAGGTTGGACATTTGGACATGTAATTGTAACTTTCTTGTACAAAGACTGAGTGTGAAGATGAGAAAACAACTGTAAGCTGTGTTCAATTTCATGACACACTATGTGTGTCTTCATTCAGAATCAGAAAGACTTTATTTATCCTCAAGGGGCAATTAACAATTTCATTATCAGGCTGGTGCCTACATGACTGTAGAAACTGAGCTCCCCACTGCTGAATATGAAAAGACTGTATCCACACGATGAGAGCCTGCAACAGACTCATGAGTTTGAGAGCGCTTACCTCCAAGCAAATTATTGAGGAGATGAGTGTTTGAAAACTGAGAGCAGACAGAATAACTGCTGCAATCTCAACTGATAAAGAACCCAGCTGAAGCCAATTTAGTTTAATAAAGAATGAAAACAGAGTTCATGTTTTTGTTTTCATTTTTCCACATGAATGTTAAAGTCAGGTACTAATTATTTTATCTGAACTGATCACTAAATCGGACAAATCAAACTCAGAGTAAGAGCCAGACTGACAATAAACAACAAATAAAACAGTTTTGTTTTTTTCAGTTAGGGTGTGCAGGGCTAAGAATAAGACTTTCAAATAAATGATAACTTTGTCTGTGGGTTATTAATAAATCAGAAGTAAAGATTCCTGCCACTGCTGCTCCTCAGTGCAGCTCGCTCTGTTCCCTGGAATGACTTTGACTCTGTTCCCCAGATGCTGCAGCTTCATGTTTCTAAGAATAGAGCCAACAACAGCTGTGTTGTAGCTGTGTGAAAAATAGACTTAAAACACGAATGGTTTCGTGGTAAACCTGGGGCTTCTGTTTCACACAACACCTCGTCCTCACAGTGGTACAGTCACCCCTGCTGCTCCGGCTCAGCTGACAGGAGCTGTGTTACTTTGGGCTGCAGTGGTTAAAGGAGCCTGGCTAGCTATAGGATTATTTTCAGAGGTTACATTTATTACAAGTACCATTAACACTAAATGATGCCCAGGAGTAAGTGAGCATTTGACACTGAGCAGGAAGAACTGCTGGAGAACCACAAACCATGCTGAGCTAAGGAAGTTGGACCAGGAAACCCAGGGAACCATGAAAATCCAAAATCCAAACTGTCTGATTAAAAAGTCAGAATCGACAAAGTCATTTAATGAAGTCGATCCTCTAGAGACTAAGAATATCTGTACAAAGTTTAATGTCTTTAGTCCAGATCCAGTCCATGTGGACTAAAGTAGTGGACTGACCAACAGACTGACATTAACATCAGAGCCGTGCTGCTAGTGTGGCTAAAAGAAAAGAGAAGAAGAGACAGTCATGTTGATATGAACATTAGAGAAACACATCATGGAGCTGAAATATGATCCTGCTTCCTCATTTGGACTCATTCACCTCAGCTGACACGTTCAACAGCAGACAGGTTTTTGTAGCAGTCTGTCTCACTGTGGGAGGAACAGGATGGTACTACATCTTTGGCTCTGGAACTAAACTGTATGTAACAGGTAAGAACAAACATTTATTTTCCTTCAGTTGTTTTATTGTAGAAGCTGAAAATGTGTTTAAAGTCAGTTTGTGCTGCTTCAGGCTTTACATGTTAGTTTTTCATCATTAGTAGAGAATTCATCTGCAGCCATTGTTACATAAGAAAAGCTCAATAATCTCTGAAAACATGTTGAAATCTCACTGAACAACTAAAGTTATTCTTTATTTCTGCAAATATTAGTGATGTTACAAATATTTAGGATTTGATCCTCTCAGTGATTCTGCTGGTTTTTAACACAAGATCATATTTGATGTTAAAATTAATACAGTAGCAGATTTGTAAATATGAATTTTGCTAAGAAGAAAATGTAGATATGTTTTTAATAGTGAACGATATAGCATGTTGGTCCAAAGAGTCATTTTTGGAAAAACATTATTTTATTAATTGTCATAGATACTGATCATGAAATGTTAAACGTCTAAAATGTGATGAAAAATACTGGATAAAATATGAAATTGTTAATCAGGTTTAATGAGTCAAAATGACAAATAATAATGAAAGTTCAAAAATGTTATCTGTAAATACTTCTTTGAAAAATATGTGAAAGTAAATACACAATCATTCACAAAATGTAATTTTTTAATTAAAAATAATAACAAATTAATTCAAATGGCCAAAAAAAAGGATTTAATTATCTCTCAAATTTCAGCTTGATTGCATTTAAATTTATGTAATAATTCATTTACATATGAAAGAAAATAAGAATCAAACCAAATAATAAAATTAAAGCTGATCCAATTATTGCAGTAAAAGATTTAAGAATTTTAAAGTCTCTGAAAGAAGAATGTTATTTATTGTAACAAATATAAAACATGTCTTTAAAAACTATTTAAAATTTACATCATGATTTGTTGGGAGAAGATCAATTCTGTAGAAATGTGTTTCAGATTGGAAATATATTTTAAAAATTATATGAAGGCAAATATATATATATATATTTAAATTTGTTATAACTTAAATTTTAAAAACCAAGAAGATAAAGGAGAAATACATTTTATTTCATGATGTAAAACCATGCTGAGTGTTCCTCATGTGAGCCATGATGACATGAGGTGATGACTGTGTTTGATATGAAGCTGAATCCAGTGTATGTAGTGAACTTTGTGCTGATGAGTAGTTTAGTGATCAGAGTCCATGTAGTTTCCAGGATCAGACTGAATGCAGTGCAGTGCTGGAAGCTGCTGCTGACTGTGTGAATGTGTGTCTGTGCTGCTTGTTGCTGCTGTCAAACTTCAGATGAGCAGGTAGTGAAGCCCGTGGTGAGCGTGTACCCAGCAGCATCCAGAGCCCACCTGGAGGGGAACAGCTCCCTGCTGTGTGTGGCCTCAGCCATGTTTCCTCCTCTGGTCCAGTTCTCCTGGAAAAGACAGAAGAAGAACGGCGGAGAAGCGGAGGAGCTGCCCCCTGCTGAGGGAGAGCAGCTGGAGCTCAGAGAGGCGGGACGCACCATTGCCATCAGGATGCTTGATGGGAGCCATTCTGACACATATAAATACAGCTGCTGGGTGAAGCACGAGGGGGCACAGTGGAGGCCCGAACACAACAAGGTAATGAAGGCTTGGTGACTGTGTTCAGCAGTGATTCAGCTTCATGTGGAGATGCTGTCAAAGAGAGCAGAGCAGCAGAGGACTGACATTTCTCACTGCAGCTCCAAACATTTGACTCCTTTTCTGTTTCAGAGCTTCCAGCTCCAGCAGCCTCCTGTCCTCCAGAGAGAGAGCCAGCAGACCTGCCAGCTCTGCAGCCAGCTGACTGTAAGATCACCTGCTGCCTCTCTGCATGGACAGCTCCAATGTCCAATGAGGCAGCTGGAACAAGTTTAGGCTCTTAAAGTTGCACTAATTGATCAAATCTTCATCCAACAAGCTCTGATAAAGCCACTGTACACTAGCTGCTCAGCACCAAACAGCAGACAGACCATAATATGTCAGAGATCAGTTTGTTAGCTGCTTGTGGAGTTCTTCTGCCCCCAAGTGGACACAAACACTACATCAATTCATCCACTTGAAGAAGAAGCTGTGACTGTTTCTATTTGGACTTTTTCTCCTTGATCTGAGAGGAATAACCCGACTGTCTGTCTGTCTCTTTGTGTCTGTCTGTCCTTCAGTGTCCTTCCAGTCTCAGTGCAGGGTGAAGCTGCTCTGCCTGCTGTACACAGTGCTGATAGTGAAGAGTCTGGTGTACTGCTGTGGACTCTCTCTGCTGATGATGCTCACAAACAAGGGAGCGTCCACCAACTGCACACATGCTGACTGACTGTTTCCTGCTCGCCTTTTCTCACCATCACATCTCATCAATTCATCTCATTCATCACTTTGATCACAAATGTTAGTTATGATGTGTTGTGCTTATTTTGCCTTTTTCTTCAACAGTTAGAAGATCGTCTGAAATAAATACATCTTTACATGTATTGTTGCTCTGAGTTAGAATTCTTTTTGTGCTTATTGTGACTTTTATTGTAGTAACAAAAACCATCAGGAATATTTTATCACAAGTTTTCACTTTGATTTTCAAATGTCAAACAGTGTAGTTGTGTTTGTGTGAACAATAAAGATTTGAAGATGAAGAGTTTGATTCTACTTTCATTGTGTGATCAACAACAACCCGTGTGAGTGAAGCACAAACTGACTGTATCCAAACTTGCTCTCCTGCAGCAGACGGGCTGTGTGGGTTTCTGCTCTGCAGCCTCCACACCGTTAGCTGTGGCTTTCACTTTAATAACACAATGACAGTTACAAGCAGGAACTCTGCTTCAAGAATGATTCCAGGAAGGATCTGTGTTCTTCACCTGTGAGAGAAACAGCTCAAATCCTCAACTCACAGCTGACAAATGAACTTTAATGGAATCAAAGGAGAGACCATGAAGCCCCTGCAGTCTGCTCAGCTCCCATTTTATTACCTGAGCTGAGTTTTTCATTCTGGATATCACACACGTAAGAACAGATCAAGTCTGAACAGCAAATGTTGGAGAATCATTTTGAAGTCTTGCTAAATGTCGTTATTATTACAAAAACTACTGAATGATTCAGAAAATCCTTTCCAACAAGCAGAAATATGCAAACAAAGTAGAAACAAGGCAACATGAGTCATTCAGATGCAGATAACATATTCTCCTTATTGTGAAGAACACAGTCATGAAATCTTTCTGTGTGTCATTCATTGAGTTGAAGTGCCTAATAGAAGAGGAAGAGCAGCAATAATCAATGATAGCT